TCATCATCATCGTCAGAATCGTCGTCATCATCAGCATCATCATCATCAGCATCATCATTATCATAAGCATCATCCTCATCATTATCATCAGCATCATCATCCTCATCGTCATCATCATCCTCATCTTCATCCTCATCAACATCATCATCGTCATCATCATAATCAGCATCAGAATCATCATCGTCATCCAAATCATCAGCATCAGCATCAGCATCATCATCAGCATCAGCAGCAGCAGCATCAACAACATCATGATCAGCATGATCAGCATGATGATCATCATCATCGTCATCATCATCACAATCACCACCACCACCACCATCAGCATCATCATCATCATCATCATCATCATGATCATCCTCATCAACATCATCATCACTATCACCATCACAATCCACCACCATCCTCATCATCGTCATCATCATAAAAAGGTTCTTCGTCAGCGTCATCGTTGTCGTAACTGTCATCGCAGTCGTCAGCATCATCATCATCAGCACCATCATCATATTCATCATCATCCTGAGCGTCAACATCATCATCATCATCACTATCATCACCATCACCACCATCACCACCACAATCACCAGGCCCATAGTCATCATCATCACCTATCATCATCAGCATCATCATAGTCCACATAATAAACATTATCATCATCATCCTCATCCGCATTGGTATCCGCATCATCATCAACAACATCATCAGCATCATCATCACCATCATCATCAGCATCATCAACATCGCGGCCGACGTCGTCGTCACCATCATCGTCATAGTCATCATCACAACAAATCAGCAGCATCTTCATCATCTTCATCATCATCACCATCATCATCATCATCAGCAGCAGCAGCAGCCGCAGCAGCATCACCATCAACATTATCATTAGCACCAACATCAGTATCAGAATCATCATCATCATCACTATCATAATCAGCATCATCATCAACATCATCATCATGAGCAGCAGCACAGTCATCATCATCATCATCATCATCATCATCATCATCATCATCATGATCATCATCATCATCAGCAGCAGCAGCCGCAGCAGCATCACCATCAAGATTATCATTAGCACCAACATCAGTATCAGAATCATCATCATCATCGTCATCATCACTATAATAATCAGCATCATCATCATCATCAACATCATCATCATGAGCAGCAGCGCAGTCATCATCATCATCATCATCATCATCATCATCATCATCATCATCATCATCAGCAGCAGCAGCAGCAGCAGCATGATCATCCTCATCGTCATCATCGTCATCATCATCGGCATCATCCTCATCATCATCATCGTCACCTTCATAACCATCGTCATCATCAGCAGCAGCAGCAGTAGCAGCAGCAGTTGAAGCATCAACCATCATGGTACTCATCATCATCCATTATCCTCGTCATCCTCCGCAGCAGCATCATCCTCATCATCAGCATCATTAGCATCATCATCAGCATCATTAGCATCATCATCAGCATCATCAGCATCATCATCATCATCGTCATCATCGACGTCGTCGCCAGCATTGTCATAGTCATCATCATCATCATCATCATCATCATCATCATCATCATCATCGTCGTCGTCGTCGTCATCATCATCATCATCATCATCATCATCATCATCAGTATCATCATCATCATCAGCAGCAGTTGCAGCATCAACATCCTCATCACCCTCCTCCTCCTTCTCCGCATCATCGGCAGGGGCTGCCTTCAGGCCGGCAATCTCGGCCGCGCGCCGCCTCGTGAGCTCCTCGTAGGGCGTCACGGTCTCGTCGCACTGCGCGTGCAGGCTCTTGAGCACCGCCTCGAGGGGCAACAATGCGGAGGAACGCGAGCGTTTTCTTACTCGGCGTTTCGACATTGGGTGGAAGGGGGGTCTGGCTCCGGACCTCTGCTTTAGTCACTGTCTGCAGCAGTGCGTCCATTCTGGGGGAGGCTCCACCTGCCCGAAACGGGCGCCCAAAACAGCCAAGATCTACTCCATGGGGGGTGGGAGGGGGGGTGCGAGGGCCCGCGCCGATCGGCAGAACAACGAATGAAAAAACGGCCACAACCGACTCAGGGCGAGAAACAGAACGAGAACCAAGAAGAAGAAGAAGTCGAAACATCAGAATCCTGTCTGGATCGTCACCGTGACCAACATCACCCCACAGACGGTGAAGCACTGGCAGTTGAGGCGAACAGCACTCGACAATTGGGGGGGAGCCATCGAGCCTGCATCGGCGACACGTCGCCGACAGATCGGCGATGCCTTCGACGCGGCTCGCGGACGACTCCCGTGGCTCTCGGCGGGCTTCCAGCCCCGAGCTGCCCTCTGGCGGCTGCGCCTCACCGAGGCCGCTCCGGGGGGCCTGCCCGGATGGCACCGGGCGGCCGCCGCAGGCCCGAGCAGACGGTTGAAAAACCACCAGGGGACAGGCCCCAGGGGGTAGAGACATCGAGCCCGCACCGGCGATGCGTCTCCAGCAGATCGGCGGCAGGCCCCCGTCAGCGACGCCGCACTGTCCTGGGCTGGGCGGGCTGCAGTCGGGCTCGATCGGAGAGGACACGCGAGAGGACACAAGACCCCGCCGAGGGCTACGTTGCCGTAGGAACGTTGAAGGCACGGGCCTCTAAAGACAGGACACAAGGGTACCTTTGTCGGGGATGGACAGACCCCCCTTTAGTAAAACGTGGTTTAGTGAAAACGACCTGAGGCCCAAACCTGGCGGGCGCAAGCCAGGAAAATCTGCCGACCCTGTCGGCGTGTGTGAGGGGCTTCTCCGTTCGACTCGTCGTCTCCGTCGTCTCCGTTCTCCCCCTCCCAGGGCTCTCCTCCTCAAGCGCGCTATCCAAAGCGAAATTAAACGACGTCGTAGTGGAGTCGAAGGGAAGCCCCTTCCCTTTGATCCCTTCCCCGCAGGGGGGGGGGGGCGGGGCAGATACGACGCCCGCCGGGGCGCACTTTCCTCGAGCGGGCACGCACGGGATGCACTTCCTCCTCCTCCTGGTCCTCCTCCTCCTCCTCCTTTTTCCTCCTCCTCCTCCTCCTTGCTCCTCTCCTCCTTCTCCTCCTCCTCCTCCTCCTCCTCCTCCTCCTCCTCCTCCTCCTCCTCCTCCTCCTCCCGCAGAGGCGTCCCGGGAGCGGGCCCCGAGTCAAAATACCACCCCCCTAGGGCGCATTTTCCTCGAGCGGGCACGCCCGAGATGCACTTCTTCCTCTTCCGGGAGCACGTCCCAAGTCAGAATATCACACTCACGGGGCGCACTTTCTTCGAGCGGGCACACAAAGGATGCACTTCCTCCTCCTCCTCCTCCTCCTCCTCCTCCTCCTCCTCCTCCTCCTCCTCCTGCTCCTCCTCCTTCTCCTCCTCCTCCTCCTCCTCCTTCTCCTCCTCCTCCTCCTCCTCCTCCTCCTCCTCCTCATCCTCCGCTTCCTCCCCCCACTCCTAGCCCTTTCGATCAGGGTCGGCGGCAACGGCCGTCCGGCCTCTCCAATAACGGCCACGGCGCCCTCTCGAGAACCGAAAACGGACAATTCACTAATCGACGTGTCACTGTTGGGGGTTCTGTCCACCCCGACTTTGACTTGGCAGGGTCGATCTACTAATCGAGGCTGGCTGTATCGGGCCCTATCGGCGATCCATGGGCAATTGGGGGCTACCAACCGTTGCCCTGGATGCCTGCACCGCGTCGAGCTCCTTCTGCACGCCCTCGCGGTCGGCCTTCGCCTCTGCCGTCTCCTTGTCCCGCGTGTTGGCCTCCTGGGTCTTGTACTTCACGTCCTTTGGGAGGCAGCTGTGCTTTCGTAAGAACGAATAGGTGCTCGTAAGCCCGATTCAGGTCCCATTGAGCCGGATCAGCCCATGATTAAGCAGGACAGCGCCGGACTCATCGGGACCACGCGGGATTGAATGGGATGATGGCTCAGGCTTGTTTTTCGGCCACAGACAGATCAGCGCCAACGCTGAATTTACCTCCCAGAAGTTGCATCCGAACGTCCTGCTCCTTGTTGGTCTTGTCCACGGCGTTCTGCTTGGACTGCTCCTCGTACTCGCTCGCTGCGGCCTCCTCTGTCGAGATCATCTCGGCAAGATTCTTGGAGAAGTCCGACTCGATGACCTCGAGGAGGCCAATGATGCCCGAGCTGGCGCCATCCGCGGCGGAGTGGGCCTTGTCGTCCTTCGAGTAGTACTCCCGCAGCACCTTGAGCGCCATCTTCACCCCCTCGAGGCCCTTCTCGAGCTCGGGCCGACTCTTGTCGTAGAGGCTCTTCTCGTCCTCCCGGATCTTGTCCATCGTCTGCTGAGACTTGGCGAGCGCGGCCAGCTCCTTCTCGAGCGTGGCGATCTCCCCCTTGAGCTGCGCCGAGCGCGCCGTCCACTGGTCGACCTTCGTGGTTAGCTTCTCGATCTCGGCGACCTTGTCGGCCTCCTTGGCCTCGTTCTCGCCGAGCTCCTTGTCGCAGAAGGCCTTGTGCTCGGCGTCGGCTGCCGCCTCCGCCTCCAGCTTGTCGATCATGTCGGCGATGAGCGCCTTGATCTTGGCGAAGGGGTCCGCGCTGACGCGGGCGGCAGATGCCATCTGCATGGCGAGCTGGGCCAGCGCCGTGGAGTTCTGCTTCTGCGCCAGGCTCTGCACGAAGCGCACGGCGGCCACGTCCGAGCTCGAGCGAAGCTGGAGGAAGGAATACGTCTGCGAGGCGGCTCCCGAGGTGGTCTCCTGGATGATCCTCTTCGCCTCCGCGATGGCCTTGAGCTCCTCCCCGCGGCTCTTCTGTTCGGCCTCAAATGTCTCGGCCTTCTCCATGCAGTCTGAGTGGAGGGTCGCCTTGGTGCTCTCGTCGGACGCGAGGTCAGCCGAGGTCGCGGCCAGGTCGCCCTCGGCCTCCGCCTTCGCGCTGGAGCTGGCCGCGAGCCCCTTCTTTGCCTCCTCCAAGTCGGCGTTCCCGTTCCTGATCTCATCCTTCAGGTTCTGCGCCAGCACCTGGTAGTTCTGCAGGCTTGAGGTCTCTGCCTTGCGCAGGCCGTCGAGCTGGGCCTCCGCCTTCTCCAACAGGTCCTGCAGCACTCCGATGATCCCGCCGCTCTGGCCCTGGTACACGGCAGCCGCGGGGGCGCCCGAGTCCGCCCCGTCGTCGGTGGACTGCTGCATCTGCTGCAGCAGGCCCGTGAGCCTGCCCGCGTCGGAGGAGCTGATCAGGGAGGCCTGGACCATCGCGGTGAGGGCCTGCGTCAGGGCGCCGGCACCCTTCAGCTGCAGCATGGACGCGCCAGCGCTCTTCGCCATCTCGCGCTCCAGGATGGCGGTGGCGCGCTTCAGGGTGTCGATCACCTCCACGAGCTCGCTCTCTTCGGCGGCGAAGTCCGCCTGCTCTGTGTCTGTACTGGGGTATTTCATTTTGGCCAATGTCCGCACTTAACAAATATAAGTTGTTGGTGATGGTGGTGTTGGTGTTGTTGTTTTGGTTGATGATGCTGCTGATGTTGCTTTTGTTGTTGTGGTGGTGGTTGTGGTTGTTGTTGGTTCGTTGGTATTGTTGATGGTGTTGTTGTCGTTGTTGGTGGTGCTCTGATTGTTGTCGTTGTTGTTGAACTCTCAAGACTGAAAAACAATTATTGTTGACCCCCCCTCTGGTAACACATGCGATTTTCAATTGAAGTGCCCTTTCTGGGGCTCGCACCCTGTTTTTTCTTATCACGGGAAAACTTCCTGCTCAAACTGCGCCCCTGGCCCCCCGACTGCAACAACAACAAAAACGGCTACCGCCGAATACTTCCTCACAAGTTATTCCCAAATCGCGTTCTCGCGCGAGACTTCTTTACAATGTATGCCAGAATCGCGCTCTCGCGTGGTACTTCTTCACATTGAATTCAAACGCCGCGCCCTCGACACGCAGGAATCACGCTCTCGTCGTGGATAGCCTTACGAATTACTTGGGAATCGCGCTATCGTTCGAGACCTCTTGGCGACCCATGCAGGACGCACGCTTCAGCACTCGTCCTGCTCGACCAGGCCGCTTGGGCCCGCCTGCCCGACCCCCCTTTGTTAGGGTCTATCCGCCCGATATGCCCCTCTGGTTCTGCCACGTGCTTTCTGTTCCGAACCCCCTCTCCTGCTATTTTGTCTCGTGCTCAGTCCTCCTCATTTCCCCTTGTCCCTTCCTTCCATCCGTCTTCTCTTCCACTGGCCCAGGACTGCTCGAAATACACGGCGCGGGTTAGAAAGACAGTACCCCCAAGGGGGTGCGACCGAAGACGAACAAGGCGGGCATCGAAAGTTTGGGATATACGTGTTGAATGGCACGCGGACAGATGAGAGCGGACAGTCCTAGAATGGGGGTTGTTGTCGTCGTCGTTGTCGTTGTCGGCGTTGTTGTTGAATGTTAATTACTGAACGAATTGTATTGTTGGGCTTCCCCCAAGCGTTTTGGCGATGTCGCCTCAGCGCTGGCAAGATTTTCATTGAAATTGAAGCTCGCGCCCGAGCGGCTTGGGGGGCACCAAAACCAACCCCCCAACAACAACAGCAACAATAACAACAACAATTTGATACCGTTCGCTCTTACCTGTTCGCGCGTCATCCAATATGCAGGTCCCAAAACCTAGATACCCCGCCCCCTTCGTCTTGAATCGTGCCCCCGCTTGGGGGGTATATTCATTCCCTGCCACGCGTGGTTGGTGAAGCCCTTGAAAACGAAGGGCAACAGATAGCGGGGGAGAATGACGACGAAGGGATCGGAGGAAGGGAAGGGAGGGACAAAAAGGAGGGAGGACGATGATTTGCGCTGCGAGTGGCGATTCAGTTTGCGCCATGGTTTGCGCCAGCCACTCCAACACAGGTTAATAGTAAGTTTCGCCATGGGTCGCGCCATAAACAGCGCCACGTACCACCCCCTTGAAAGAACATGTCGTGGATACCCCCACGGGGGGACGTACAGCTGCGAGTTGGTGTCAGAAACAAATTTCGTGGAACCCTTGAAAGAAGCGGGATGTTTGGAGAGCGGCGGGGAAGGATAATGAGAACTTCAGAGGTGTTGAGAGGAACGCGGAAGCCCCAAGTGAGAGCCCAAAGTGAGAGCGCGATTCTTCTATAAATTGTGAGGAAGTATCAAGCGGTAGCCGCGAGCCGGTGGTAAATTGCAAGGAAGACCAAAGCGAGAGCGCGGTTCTTCAATAAATTGTGAGGAAGTGTTGTAAACTGGGGGGCCAACGACACAATTTGACCCTCAAGATTTTCCTTATATATATGAATTAAAAAAGTGCGAGCCCCGGGAAGGGCTCTGCCATCGAAAAAAGCAGTGCACACCGGACGGGAAGATCTATACTAATAATTCTTCAAAAGAGAGTTCAACAACAACAACAACAAAAACAAAAACAATAACAACGACAACAACAACAACAACAACAACAACAACAACAACAACAACAACAACAACAACAACAACAACGACAACAACGACAACAACAACAACAATCATTATAACACTGTGCGTTCTTACTTGCCCGCGTGTCACCCACACCCTCGATACCCGCCTTTTTTGTCTTCGATCACACCCCCTTTGGGGGGATTCTTTTTGCGAGGGGCGGCGGGTTTAGACACGCGGGGCAAACCTGAACGGGCGGACAATCCTTCGTGGGCGTACATGTGCCCGCCATTAGAATTGGTGTGGGCCCTTCAAAAAAGAGGAGGGGGAGAACGAGGGAGAGTGGGAGGAAGGGAAGGGGAGGGACGAAGGAAGAGGGAAAACGCCAGGAGAGAAGGAGCGAAGAGGGGGGCGGTTGATTAGAGGCAGAGAGCGAGAGAGAGAAAGACAGGTAAGAGAGGTAGAGGAAGAGAGAGAGAGAGAGAGACAAAGGGGAGAGAGAGAGAGAGAGAGAGATAATATAAAAAAGGGAGGGAGGAGGCAGGAGAGGGGAGGGAGAAGGGAGGAGGGAGAGGACGGAGAGGGGAAAGGGCAGAGAGGCATAAGGATGAGGGAAGAGAGGAGGGAGAGAGAAGGGAGGAGAGGAGGGAGGAGGGAGGAGGGAAAGGGAGGAGGAGCAGGAAGGTAAGAGCGTGAACGTTCGAGGAAGTCCTAGGCGAAAACGCCGCTCCTGAAGGAAGTTTCGGGCGGGAGCCCACGACGGGCGGGCGATCCCCTGACGGGCGGGTCGGGAGGGTGGGACATTCAAGCGGGATACCTGATTATGGCGACAGCGCGATTACTGAATACATTGTAACGGCGTCCTTGGCGCAGCGTGTTTCCTGAGCGTCGGAAGCGCGATTTCTGAATACATTGTATGGAAATCAAAGGCGAGAGCACAATTCCTGAATGAAATATGACGGGTTCTCTGGCGGGAGCGGTGGTCTTCATTAAATTGCGAGGAAGCCTTGATTCAATTGCGAGGAAGTCTCAAGCGGGAGAGTCGTTCCTGAGTAAATTGTGAGGAAGTCTCAGATGGGAGCGGGGGTCCTGACTAAATTGCGAGGAAGTCACAGGCGGGAGCACCGATCCTGAGTAAAATGTCAGGAAATCTCAAGAGCGGGGGTCCTCAACAAATTTGAAGGAAGTCTCAAGCGGGAGCCGTTGTTGTTATAATCCGGAGGGCCAGGGCCCAGTTTGAGCACCAAGACTTTCCCTGCAGGGTGCGAGCGTCGAGGGGCACACTTTGATTCAGAAATGAGATTTCAACAACGCTCCCGCTGGAGAACTCATTTCTAACTCAGGGCCGGTGCTCTTGCTCGCCGCCGAAAGCCGCCGTCCCAACAAAACTACCGCTACCGCTCGAGACTTCCTCCCGTTGTACCTTGGACTGGCGCGCCACTCTTTCTCTCATCGACGCCGCCCCCAGCAAGAACAACGCTCCCGCTCGAGACTTCCTCCCTTTTTTACTCAAGGCGATGCTCCTCCTCGCCGCCGAAAAGCGCTGTCCCGACAAAGCCAGCGCTCCCACCCCGAGACTTCCTCCCGTTTTACGCTGGACTGGCGCCCTACTCTCTTTTGATTTGGCGCCGCTCCCAGCAAGAACAGCGCTCCCGCTCGAGACTTCCTCCCTTTTTCCTCAGGGCGCTGCTGTTCCTCGCCGCCGACAGCCCCAGTCCCGACAAAACCACGGCTCCTTTGAGACTTCCTCCCTTCTAACTCAAGGCGGTGTTCCTCCTCGCCGCCGACAACCGCCGTCCCAACAAAACCAGCGTTCCCGCTCGAGACTTCGTCCTACTCTTTTCAGAATTGGCGCCGCTTCCAGCAACAACAGCGGCCCTGCTCGAGATTTCCTCCCTTTCTATTCAGGGCCAGGTCTTTGCCTCGCCGCCGGAAGCCCCCATCCCCACCAAGGCAATCCTGTCGCTCGATACTCCCTTGTGCTTTACCCTTGGCTGGGGCTCCACTGGCGGCCGCGCATCGGCGCAGCAAGGCGCAGGCATGCGTTGTCGAGGCGGGATCTGTTGAAATTCCTCGGAGGAGATATCTGCAAGACCTCATTGGGCGGTAGATCTGGAAATGGGAATAACGGACAGGGCTATAGAACAATAATCCCCCATGATGGGGGTGGTTATCATGATGGTCGCATGCTTCGTGTGGAAACATCGCGCATGAGGGTAAAATGATTGTTGTTGTTGTTGTTGCTGCTGGTGTTGTTTTTGTTGTTGTGTTTGCGAAGTCCGCCTGCTCTTTGGCGCGAATCTCGGAGGCGGCCTTCAGGTCCGCCTCGTCCAGGGAGAGCTCCGCTGCTATGTCCTCGATCTTGGTGTTGAATTCCTCGATGCTGGCGGACTCCTTCGCGATGGTCGCCTCCAGGCCCTCGACCTCGCCCTTGGCGGTCTTGATCGAGAAGCCCAGCTCGCGGGCCTCATCCTCGCACCACTCGGAGAACTCTGCGAAGACCTTGTGCGACTCCTCGCCCTCGGAGATGACCTTCGCCTGGAGGTCGGTGATCATGGTCAGGACCTGCTCGATGGGGGTCACCTGCTCCGCAAACCCGCGCGCGACGACCAGGAACGCGAAGGCGAGGTTCATCTTCATTGCCCACTGGGGGGGGCGCTGCCTCAAACAGGGCCTTCGGGACACAAACAAAAAGGCGGGTCTGCCTCGAGCCTGGAGCCCCAATGGCCACGGAAGAGATAGTGCCGGGGGGTCCCAAAACCACGAGGTGCCAGCCCGCGCGGGGCCCGCGGAGCCCCCAAAGACGTCGCCGCACGCTCCGTCACCGCACGGTCTGGGGACCCCGGAGGCCCTGGTCGCAAGGAGCACGTCCTCGGAGCACGACCCCGAGCCCCAACAGGTAGCGCGGCCACCTCGAAGACGCACGGACTCCCCAGCGCAGTCAACTGGCACCGGCTGGAGGCCCTCGAGACGGGGGGTGCACGACCCCCGCTCGCGGAGCTCGCTGGCGCCAGGGCGGCGGCCGGGAAAGCAGAGAGCAGCAAACCCACCCTCCGAGTAATCACCCCGACACGCGAAGCCGTTTCGTAAGCGCACCCAAAGAATCGAACAGGTGAGCGTTTTCTTATTCGGCGTTTCGACATTGGGCGGCGGCAAGGGTGGGAAAGGGGGGGGAGTCTGGCCCTGGGCCTCTGCCTAGTGCGACAGGTTGGGGCCGTGCGGCCTCTGGGGGAGGGTCTCCACCTGCTCGAAACAGGCGCCAAAACACGGCCAAGATCTACTCCGTGGGGGGGTGAGGGGGGGGGGCCCGCGCCGATCGGCAAAAAACTGAGCACAAAAACGATCACCACAGGGCAGGGCTTCTCAGTTCAATGCCCTGGTTTTCTTCCCTCCCTAGAGAGAAGGGGGGCTCTCCAGGGACTCACCCACCGCGGCGGGGCACGCGGGCGCGCCGGCCCGTGGCGCGAGGAGTGGAGGCGCTCCGGCCCTGCACCTTCAGAAAGGTGCCAATTGTCCGGAATCTCGCAAGGCTGCCCACTGTCCCCTTTCTTGTTCATTATGGTAATGACTATGGGAGTCCAGGACGCCGCACGCCATGCAGATGTTGCAGTACGACAGGCCTTGGCGGAAAAAACTTTCGCGATTATTTTTGTATGTTGATGGCACTTTATTGGATGGCCGCAATCATGATCAGTTACACATGCTTTTGGCTGAACTCGCTCGCGCAGGAGCCCTGGTGGGCATGGAGCTTCACTGGGACAACTTCCAACTTATGCGAGTGCTGTGCGATATCAACCTCCTCACGCCGAGTGGCGAGCAAATCGTGGCAAAAGATTCGATGGTGTATCTAGGTGCTACGCTTTCCAGCTCAGGGCAGGTATGTGGAGAATTGGGCAGGAGATTGGGAGCAGCTTGGGGCGAGTTCTACAAATATGAACGTGCCTGGAAGCACGCGGCTATTACCACAGAGCGGAAAATCCAGATATTCCAGGCACTCGTAACAAGCAAGGTGATGTATTCATTGAACTCTGCATGGCTTGAGAAAGCGGAGCAGAGAAGACTGGATGGCTTTCAATGTAGGCGCCTGCGACGAATATAGCACATCGCCCCAGCTTACGTTTCACGATGTTCTAACAACATCGTCTTGTTTCAGTCTGGTGTAACGAGCCGAACTCTATACATCGACGCTTTTCCTGGCCCCGCACTGGAACTCGCACAGGAAAGCGGATCCTGGTGTATACGAGCTCCTGGTGTATACATTTTTCGTTGCTTCCCAGGGAAGCGGGGAAACAAGCGTACACCACACCACCCCGACGTCGTCCCCGACCCTCCTAAAGTCCTGGGATTGAAAAGCAGCCCGCCACTGGTAATGTACATGCTCTAGTTTCAGATGGTGAGCAACCCTACACTCAAGTCGGGCGTGTCCCCCTACAGGGGGATTTTGGGCGAACAATTGAAACTAGTCCCCAGATTATGCTTTACTATGTTTGAATATTCCCCCTGTAGAGGGACACGTCCGACTTAACCCTACACGCCTCAGCTCTTAAGACATCAGCTCTGACCCTTCGGAACGACTGGCAGGCCCGCCGCCTCCAGCCCTGTGCGCCGCCCCGCTTTCCAGGCATGGCAGCCCGAGGCCGGCCACGGCTGCGCGCGCCGGAGCAGAGCAGTGGGGAGGCCGAGGCAGGAACGGGCGAAGAGCTTGCTCGCTTCTGCCGTGCAGCATGTGAATGCACCCGGCCCCTTGATGGATTGCGTTGGCGATCCAGCTGCATGGCGCGAATGTGTAGTGAAGTGTGCGTGTTCCCCTTCTTGTCCCCCTGCTCCTCCTCCCCCCCCTTCCCCCTCTCGCCCCCCCACCCTAGATAGCCGGCTGCGCATTGGATTATATCCTATGTTGCCTGCGCCGCCGCAGCAACTGCAAAGCGGAGGCTCCAGCGAGTGCGCATTCTGTTATTTCGTTTCGCCCACGCGCTACGGCGTATGGCATGACTGACTGACTGAGGGGGACAGGCCCGACTTACGGCTCACGCAGGAGTGACCTCCTGGCTGCGCGGCTCGGAGTCCGCGGGGGCTCTCCGAGCGCGCCAGCCAGCGCTGAGGGGACCCCCGTGAGCCCGCACCAAAAAGGTCTCTCCAAGAAAGGGTCACGCTTACGCTTAGTTAGCCTTGGGTCGGGCATGTCCTCCCACAGGCGGATTTTCGAGGAGCCATAGAGAGTAGTAAAAAAAAAATCCAACATAATTCAAGATGGTCGAGAAATCGTCCCCAGACTAACCTTTTTTCGACTATTTCTGAACATTCCTCCTACAGAGGGACATGCCCGACTCAAGCACAGCCGACTCCTCCCTCCCCGCCCTCGCCTCCCCCTCCTGCCTCCACCGCCCCCTGGCCCCCACGCCCGGCGGGCGCCCTGGGGAAGAGCCAAAACGTACCCCCCGAACGACGTGCCCCGAGAGAGGTGCCGCAGCGGCCGCGGATCCAGCCACAGCAGGCGCGGAAACGCAGCCGCTGGGCGCCCGAAGTGGGCCCCGAGGCCCCCTCTCCAGGGTACGCTTATGTCGGGCGTGTCCCCCATACAGGAGGATTTTCGACGATTTTTTTTTTTTTTTTTTACAACAACAAAAAAAAAAAAAAAAAAAAAAAGTCCCCAGACTATTTCTGTATTATTGTTTGACTATTGTTGGGGTATCAAGCATTTTCGTCGAAAATCCCCCTGTAGGGGGACAGGCCCGACTTAAGGGTACGCCTGGCCTCCGGGGTACGCCTGGCCTCCCCGGAGCGCCCCGCTCTGTGCCGGCGGGGCCTCGCGACGCACGGGCGCGGCCCGCAGGACACCTCTGCACCGCTTCGGCCCCCTGGCGCCCCCGCCCGCCCCGTCCGGCTGTGCGGCAGGTTCGCGTCGCGTCGACCCCGGCGTTGGCTCCCGACACCGCGCCGATCGGTTCGCCTCGAGCAGCTTTCTCCTGGGGGAACAACAAGTGACATAAGCATAAAAACTCGGAGGTCCGCGCGGATGTCTCGGATCGGCGCTGGGTCTCCCCAGCGGCGCCTCCGGCGCCGCCCCTGGCGCGCTCCGCGCGCCAGGGGGGGGGGGGCCAGCGCCGATCCGAGAAATCCGCGCGGACCTCCGAGTTTGTATGTTTCTGTCACTTTTTGTTCCCCTATTTCCGATCGCCCGATCGTTCCATGTGGGCCGCTTCTGGGCCACTGGCCGCGGCGTTCCATCTTGAACGCCCGCGGCGGGATCGCCGCCGGTCGGCCGACCCCTGGCGCCCCCCGCCCGCCCCATCCGGCTACAGTGGAGGCCAGTCCACAAGAGAACGAGCTCCCACGAGAAACCCAACCTGGAGACCCCAGGACGTCCCCTGATTGTTCTGGTGTGTGGGGACGTCGCGCTCCCCACGGCAAAAAGCCACCGAAGCCCAGGAAGCCCGGGGCACCCTGGAGGCCTGGAGGCACGCAGGGTGCTTCTTGGCGTGGGCCCCCCCCTGCACACGCAAGAGCCACCCAGGCAAGGGTGACCTTTGGCGCGCGGCTGCCGGGTGGCCACGGCGAGGCCAATTCTCCGAGCGCGCAGGCCAGTTTTTTGTTGGGGGGGGGCGCTTGGGCCCGCACCTGCGGAGGGCTGCCACTCCGGCGAAGGGCCACTCCGACGAGCTCCGACACCTCGACTGTCTTCCACGCAGTATGGGGCCGGTCCACACGAAACCTTCCACGAGAAACCCACCCCCGAGACCCCAGGCCGCCCACCGATTTTTTTTGTTGGGGGTGGGAACGTCGCGCTCCCCACGGCAAAAAGCCACCGAAGCCCAGGCAACCCGGGGCGCCCTGGAGGCAAGCGGGGTGCTCCTTGGCATGGGCCCCCACTGCCATCGGGGCCCCCGAGCGTCCAGACCCCGCCCACGGCACGGGGCTCTCTCCATCCCGAGGGCCGTCTTCTGGACGGCCCGGGGGCCCGGCGAGGGCCGCCAGAGGCCGAAGGCGGCGGCAAGAACCTCCGCCGCTGCTTCTGCGACGCGCTGTCGGGTGCTGCTAGAATTATGTCGGGCATGTCCCCCATACAGAGGGGATGTTCGACGAAAAAATAAAAATACCCCAAGAAGATACCAAAAAAATGCCCAATCAAAAAATAGTCCCCTGACTTTTTTTACTATGTTTGCATGTTCCCTCTGCAGAGGGGCACGCCCGACTTAATGCCAGAAGTGCCCCTGGCCCGAGGCGCCCCCAGGATTTCCAGGCAGGCCCCCCATCGGCATCCAGAGCACCCCTCTCGCGAGGCCTGGAGGGCCCCAGGGGGCTTGACGGCGGAGCGAGAAGCTGGGGGCACCGTGGGTCAGGGGTACTTCTGTCAAGGGGCCCAAGGACACACAAACAAATACACACGAATAACAGGATTCCAAATATTTTCCCATCTTTTCTGGGTTTCTGTCATCCCCCCCCACTTCCCATATTTTCCCATATTTTCGGGGGCATCGACGATTAATTGTGTCTGTGTGTGTTTTTTCCCTCCTGAACAATGCCCAACAACAAATGTTGTCCCAAACCAAAAGCGGCCGCTGTTGGGCAGGCGGCCTTCTGTCTCGAATGGACACGGGCCGCGGCGGCGCGGACAGCGAGTCCTGTTCACAGGATCCGCT